CGCCTACTTCCTCCGAAGAGGGTGGAAGTAAAATCCCGAGGTGGGGCGGAGGCCCGTGGGCTTCTCGGTTCACCTCGGGGCCCGGGCTCCGAGGCCAGCAGCGGGAGGGCGAGGAGGGCCTGAAACCTCGCAGCGGGGGGCACCTGTGCAGGTGTCAAGGGGAGACATGACTCCGTCTGAGGAGCGGAAATTCTCAGTCAGTCGAGCTGGGGTTATTTGGGCAAAATTATAGGCATTTCTGATTCGTGATTGAGAGTCACTGCTCACGTCCAACTCTGGCTCCCAGAAGAGAGGAGTGGTGGAGCCTGGAGGGGTTTTTGAATGAGAAGGGTTCAGGTTCACTGGAGATAGTAGAATTGTGAAACTACAAAAGCGAATTGTATTTGTTGGATTGGTGGAATAAAATCTCTGAAAAATAGAAAACTAGTTTTAAGAGTTAGGAATTGAGAAGGATAATAGAAAGACTTTTACCGTACACTTTGCAATCCACTTAAAGAAACAGGGCAGACTGAGAAAGGAGGGAAGGGCGCGTTCCGCCTAAGAAGTAATTTTGTTTCTTTGTTCTTTGGCTGCCCCACATGCCTTAGAGAATCCGCGTCGCGTCTGGGCGACACTCGCTTTGGCGGTGGGACCTCCGAGCTAACCACTCCGCAGCCTGTCCGGATGACTCCACCCGTTCAGTCTGTCTGCAGGTTGGGCGTGGGGGCTTCGTGCCTTTCCCCCTTTCCACCATCAACTCTCCTCCACCTATGATTAAAGAGAAAGCCTGACACTGCATTCTAGAGCCAGCTGCGCGGAAGCAACCTCGCTCATTCTCGGGAGGGTGGGATGAGGATCCGTGCACTGTTCCTTATGCTGCCTCGTTAGTCTTACTAAAAGGCCTTTTGTTTTGGGTGACATGTTTGCCTATTTGTGGTTTATAATTTGAATAGGACAGGCTGAGCTTGTACTTTAACAACTGAGAACAGCAAAGACCACTGGTCCTGAAAGTGGCCAGCAGCCAGGAGATGGAAACCGTGAGGGCAACTAGCAGCCAGAGAAGGAGGGAGACCAATGGAGACTCGCTGGAAGTTGCCATCTTGGGTCTCCAGCAGAGTTCCTGAGGGCTGCTGGTTCCAACTGCCAAGAGATTGATGGACGGCCACTAGCTCTGAGAGGTGGTGCTGACATTCAGAGTTCAAGGCTGTTAACGCTAAAGAAAAGTACACTTTGCCTGTGTGTGATTTCTATCTGAACTTAGCAGGAGAACCCTCAGCTGATTGGTATCAAAACCAAAAAGTAGCTGAGGAATTTGAATCAAGAAAGACACCTGAGAACAAACGTGGTGCCTGCCTGTAACCTCAGCATTGTGTGAAGCTGGAGCAGGATTGCAGGTTTGAGCCCAGGCTGGGAAATTTACCAAGACCTCTCTCAAAAATTAAAAGGGAGCTGGAG